GGCGGGAGGCAGCGGCGCGGGGCAGGGAGCTGCCCTGGCCGCAGGGAATTGTGAATTGTGCACCTGCCGTGCTTGCTTCCCCGGCAGCTCCTCGGGGACGCGCGGTTGCATCACTTGCAGAAGGCAGACAACAAAAACAAAGCAAAAACCAGATGCAAGTTAAGCGCGTGGAAGTCCCGCCGGGGCTCCGGCAAAGTTGGACTCTCATGATTGCCCGGGGCGGGCGGCGGCGCGGGAGCAGCAGCCGAGGCTGCATTGCCCCCGTTCCGTGCCTGCCRTGGTGCCACCTCCCTGTCCTGGTAAGCGGCTGGGGCCAGGAGACATCCCGAGGCTCCACAGGACAGAGCTCTGCAAAACCAAARTATCCCCCCAAATAAAAGCAACGAGGCTGGAGCCAGCCCTGGCCCCTCGCTAGCCAAGACCCGCAGAGCACCGGCACAAAAGCCAGCAGTACCTGGGTGCCAGAAAGGTCCCTTGTCCCCSCCTTTCCCTTCTGGGAACACTCCGCATTTGTAAAGCCACATTTCAAAGAGATATATACATACATATAGGGKTTTTTTTTTCAGTATGCTTTCAGGCCTTTGATCTCCCCAATTTATTTGTTCCTGCCTTTGTGGACTTAGTCGTCAAAGTATATGATAATTCATGGCTCGTTAATCCAATTTGGCTGTATTTAGATATTCCAGTTTAACATCAAATGTAATGTAATGTCCAGAAGAAACAGAAATGAGATCGGCGTCTCTGAACCGGCTCTGAACCTTGGCCGGGCGGCTGCTTTGTGCATTAATTTATTCCGTCTCTCCGGCTTCCCGGAGCCGCTCCGGGGGCTGGAGAGCCCTGGCTGGCGGGTGCCGGCCGCTCCGTGGCCTCCCCTGCCCGCAGCCCCATGAGGGGCACCAGCACCGGCCCCCGATCTCGTGGGAAGCACCGACACCACGAGCCCCTCCAAGCAAAACCCACTTAGCCGTATTTAACCAAACACTTAGCTGTCCGTTTTATTCAATAATTGCCTTTAATATTAAAATGCATTAGACGCTCAAAGCAGAGAAAAGAAAAACCACATTGAGGTGAAAAACAAAATTCCCATCAGATGAAAAGAAAGAAAAAAAAAAAGAAAAAAGAAAAAAACAACGTGGCCAGTACACCATTTTGAAACAGAATTGTAATAATTTAATAAAGCTGCTTTATCATCTTCATAAAATAGACAGAATGGTGATTTTTTTTCATTTTTTTTTCCATTTCGTTGTTTACAATGATTCAATCACTGTGAAAATGTACAGAACATACATATCAGCATATACAACAATTTATTCTTCATACCATCAGCAACGGAGACACCATGAGGAAACGCGCCGCCCAACGCCTGCCCTGCTGCGACGGGAGCAGCAGCGGCGCCCGCGGCGCCTTCTCGTGCCCCGCGAGCCCGGGGACGCCGGCTGCAACCCAGGCCCTGGTTGCACCAGGTCAGCGCTTGGCGTTTGAGGGTTGTCGCCCAGCTTGGACCAGCTGAACATCAGCCGGGGCCAACAGCGAATCCGTCCCGCGTGCRGGGCGCTCGGGTGGGCTCTTCCCCGCACGGGAACCGCAATCCGCGGTCGGATCAAGGATTCTCTCCAGCTGCGGAAGCAGCTGGAGCAACAGGGTCATCCATTTCCCCCAATGACAGACAAATGTGTTTCCATTCATAATTAGTATTTTTATTCCCCCCCCCTTCACCAAGAATAATTTCAACATATTAATCAGACAGTGTGTTCTTTACAAAAGCAACTTGTTTCCTATCTTCTTTTTCTTAAAAAATAAAGCAGAACAAAAAAGAAATGTAACTCACTTCTGCACGACGTGTGATCCACAGGCCACCTCCAGCTTCACGAAACAACAGGGAACGGCAACAACCTCATCAGCAACCAACAGACCTGGGGAGCAGCTGCCTCCCTGCGCCGGCCCCGCGGACACGGGTTTGGACAGGCAGGAAAGAAAGGGAGAGCCCAGGTGGGAAGGAGCTCGGCTTGTTCCCAACACAAGGAAGCACATCGGGAATGGGCAGCAGCATTTCGGGGAGCTCCCAAAAAGGGGCACTCGCCCCACGCGGTCGCTCCAACAGATACAGGTGATTTTCTTAAACCGAATGCGCAGCTGGGTCTGAATGATTAAAGATTACATTAATTATATCTTAAAGCACAAAAAAAAAAAAAGCACCTCCTCTGCAGCCTTTACGTTTTTGCATGGCCAGTTTTGCTGCAACTGTTAAGAGGAAAGAAAAAAAGGAGAAAAATAAAACAAAACTCATAGACGGACCGCGATTCGCTCAGGAGCCCCGAGCCCCTCTCGGATGGCAGCGAAGGCCAGGGACAGGAGGAGCGGGATTCGCAGGGGGCCGGAGCCGCGGCCCCGGGCGGGCTCCGCGCAGGATGAGACCCCGGCCTCGCCGGGGCCGCGCGGTCAGGCCGGCCACAACTGCTCTTTAAACGATTCTCTCGGAGGCATAAGGGTTTACTGACCTCTTTAATGCCCCCTTTTAATACAGGGTTATTTCGCCTTCGTTCTCGTCTGTGCTTTTATTCAGAGTGGCAAGCCACGTTTCCCCTGGGTAAATTAGAGAAACGTTTCTCTCTGTTTTTTTTTTCCTCTCCTTCTCCTTTCCTTTTCAGTTAGCATCTCGCTCATCCCAAGCACCGCGGCTGGTGGCGGCAGCGCCACGGGCAGAGGACGACRCTCGGGTGACAGGGACGGCGCCCACGGCCCGTCCCACGGGCACCAGCACCCACGACCACCCCGTGTCCCCGGGGAGGAGCTGCCGGGGCGCCCGGGAAGCCTCTCCCCCCGGCAAAGGCATTTGTGAAGTTTCCCTGGATAAGGCCACCCGCAGCTGGCACCAGCCGGCAGCAGCGGCACGGACAGCTGCAGAAAATCCAGTTTAAGAACAGCAAGGCAGACTCTTCCTTCCTGCCGTGCTATGATAGCGCATCTGTTTGGGKAAAAAAAGGGGGAAAAGGGAAGCCTGGCAGGAGCTCCCTGGCAGGAGACACTGCGAGGACAGAAAGGATGGAAAAACGCACGCCGAGCTTCACAAGGATGGGGAGAATCCGGGGTTTGCTCCTCGGAGGGATGCGTGACGCCACATTAATTTACGGGATTCAATCCGAACGAGGTAGGAATCAACACCGGAGAGGGAAGTACCACTAATTTCAGGAGAAGGGTTTTCCTTGCAAGGTCTTGTCAAACTGCTGGCAACAGCCTGACTTAGGACCTGTCTCAGAGCAGCTGCACGTTCAGGCAGCATCAACCTGCCCTAAGGAACCGATTATTTGAGCCTATCTTTGCTACTTGATGTGGARGATAGCAATGACTGGAGCTTGTTGTCTTGTCGACATTTTTAATTTAAATAAACCAAAGTAAAAAATAATTTATCATGATATGTAAACCTAGGAAGACTATTTCGCTAGAAACCACTACTTTCAACTTGCTGGCACAGCAAACATKGGCAAGAGCTACGTATTTCCCCTTCCAGAGTTTTAAATTCTATGAAATCTGTCAAGTGAAGGGTTAATGATAATAATAATAATAGACTAGCTGAAATCCTCCTACCTTACTCTTACCTCACTGAGGGATTATCACTGCAAGAGAAAAGGGAGCTCRGGGACCCCTTCTTTCTCTCTCTCTTCCTTCTACAAATGGCTATTAAAGTAGCTCATTTTTTTAAACTCAATTTTATATGAGTAAATTTGTACCCACACAAAAACATCCTTAATTATGAGAAAAAAACATAATGAATTGCTTTAATTTTTTCTCCATTAAGAAGGCACATTAATTGAATTAGTAGCGTTGTTACATATCACCTGTCTGCCCCTAAATTAATATCACTATTGCTCGTTCCATATTTATTTATGGTGCAGGGAGAAAAAGAAATCAGATCACTAAAATCCATGCCGTGGTTACATACATACACGCACATACTTAGCATAATCATGATTGAGAAATGCTGACTTGGAAGCGTGTGTCTAATTGAGAAGGTAATTTAGATCTCTTAAATAATTTCATCACTTTGACTTTGAAATGACTAGAGACGGGGAATATCTAAATTGGGAAGCAAAAAAAAAAATCTAGAAAAAAAAAAAAGAAACAATTTTCCATGCATTGCCTTGAAATTAGGCAATAGAAATGGGTCTTGGAAGAGTTCGGTACAGTGCATGTGACAATTCAGGCAGAATTTCCCCCAAAATGAGTTCCTGTGAGGCCCTAGCACTGCCCTGCAAGAGCACGTGAAGGCTGCAGGGGACGGTGGGGCCTGGAAAAAGCACTTGCTCCGCTGGATCTGAAACCTGCAGGTTCTGCAAGGTGCAAATTAGACGACTGTGTTCGCTTTTTCTCTTAGAAAAAAATAATAATAATCTTGAGAGCCTTTTGCCATCACTAGACATACAGTAATTTGCAATATCAAATACAATAATAGTACAGATAAGCATGTGACAGCAAAAGGATTCATAAATGCAGGGATGTCCATAGCAAAATAGCAACATCTTAAAGTACAAACAACCTTGTGTTGGGCAAATATTAAAACTCACCGAACTGCAATTTTAAACAGTCATACACGAGAAGTGGCCAGGATTTTGCCTAGACTACAAAAAAAGGCCAGGGTGCCAATGAAGATGCCCCAAGACGGAATTTGCGCTTCGCTCCTTTACAAGGACGGAAATTTATATCCCTTTTGCGATAGAAAAATATATAAACTCCAAACCCGCCACACTTAACACTTCCGAGGGCCCAAGAGGCCTCCCCGCCGCCCCTGCCTCCCTTCCGGGGGAACGGAAAAGAAAACCAAGCTACTTTGCTCCGGCTGAACACCCCTGCCCGAACGAGTGGGATTGTCACGTTAACGAGAGCTCCGTTTATCAACAAGACATTTAGGGAAAGCTTTTAAATACAGCGAGCGGGGAGCCCCGCGGGAGGCCGCCGCGAGGCCGGGCGCGCGGGCGGCGCGCGCTCGCCCGCCGGGGCGCTGCTCAGAGGACGATGTCCTTTAGCCTCTTGGCCGCCGGCGAGTCCTTCTCCCGACACTCCTGCAGCAGGGGGTTGACGTCGCGCGCGCCGCTCTCGCTGTCCGCCCCGCGCGGCTCGGCCTCCGAGGGCCGGCACGGGCCAGTGTTCGCCAAGGGCTCTGGGCCGCGGCTCTGCCCGCCGCCGTAGGCCGCCTTGCCGCCCAAAGGGCTCTTGAGGTGCAAGGGCGACGTGACAGGGCTGGAGGCCTCGCAGCCATTGCCGGCCTCGCGCACGGCGCCGGCYGCCTTGGGGCTGCACGCGGCGGGCGCCTCCACTGTCCGTTTGCCTTTGGCGTTGCCGGCCCGCTCGTCGGCCGGGGGCTCGCCGCCTTCCTTGCCGAACGTCGCGAAAGTCCTCTTTGTGCTACAGTCTTCGTAAGGCTCTGTGTCCACAGTGGTGGCCTCTATGGAGAGCGCGATGACGTTGCGCCCGCCGCGCTCGGGGGACTTGGCGCGGCTGGGCACGCAGGCGCGCGGCATCCAGCAGCGGTCCGAGTGGCCCAGGATGCGGCACTCCTCGCGGCAGTGGAACCCTTCGCTCTGATCTGCGGGGAGAGAACACAGCGGCTGTGAGAGGGCACGCGCGCCGCTGCCAACGCCAGCGGAACAGCGGCCACGGCTAGGGCCCCGCTGGGAAGAGGGGGCTCGGCCGCCCTTCCCGAGCGGCAGCTCAGGCTCCAGCAGTTGTGGCCCCTGCTCTCGCTGCTGCTGACAGACCCGAAACCCAAGGGAAGCGAGTTCCCATGGGAAGCAAATGAAAGCAGGTGCGCCCCACGCGTSGGCTGCTCGGAGCCTGCGGTTCCCGAGGAGGCAGCACCAAAGGAAGCGGTCGCAATGCGCCTGGACGCGACGTCTCGGCCACAGGGCAGCAGGCAACGCTSTCCCTCGCTCCTTGCGCTCTCTGCTCAATGCCCGCGGCCCCCTGCACTGGGGCGGCTTTGCCAGCATCCCTGCAGAGCTCCCTGCTCCGCCTGAGCACTGCGCTCGGGGACAGCGGCCACGCGCTATGGGGACATCCCCATCCCCGGGCACATCCCAAATAGAGCCTGGGGGAGAAATACCAGCCCCTCCGCACGGTCGGACATGCTGGGGCCCAGGGATGTTCAACCAAGGCAAATCCAGGAAGCAAATCCAGGTGGCTCCGCTTTCCCAGCCTTTGKGGAGCACCAGGCCGTGGCTTCCCACCCAGGCACCCCCCCGGCTCCCGTTCAATCCCCGCTTACGCCTCCGAGCTTCTCCTCCACTCGATAAGAATTTGTAATTTGCAGATAGGCCAGTAAACCCTCATAAAGCAGCAGCTTTTCATACGCAAAGATGTAACTCATTCCTACGGTAATTTATACACCCGCAAAGTAGCAAAGCAGTGTTAAGAATTAATGCTAATAACAATAAAGGAATGCATTTGGTCCTTGTCGGTTTGATAGATTGAGCCTCGCAAAGGTGCAGACTCAGCCTTGGTTGGCTTCCTGTCCATTTGAAAACGGTTCATTTTGATGCTTTGTGCCCTGCGTGCACAGCCCGGGCTCTGCAGCTACATTGGTATTTCCACCACATTCTAGCACTAGGGCGGCTGATAAAAATTCCCGGCACATAACACAATGCACCAAAATATGAGCAGCTTAACACTTACAGAGAATAAACGAGTAAAAGGCAGAGCTGGAAAAAAAAAGGGAAAAAGAATGAGATCTTTTTTAAAGGAGAAGAAGCCAATTAATTGAAACCTATGGGTAAAATGTAAGTTATTTCTGTACGTCAGAGCAGGCGCCCGGCCGAGCGCCGCGCGAGGCTGGGGGGCCGCATTGGAGGCCGGGCTTTCAGCTCCGGAGAGCAACGCTCCGAACCCAACGTGCAGAACAACCTGCACTGGCATCCAAGGCTCTTGCTCTTCCATTCTGCTGCTTCTCAGCACTTGGGCAAAATAAAATACAATAAATAAATAAATAAATCAAAATTGCCCAGAAAGTGTTGCTGCCAGCCTATTTATCCCCAGCTTAGCTTCAAGAGGGTGCTATCCGAGGAAGCTGCTCAGTRCAGCTGTGACTCGGTAAGGGCCAGAGGGAGACAGGAATATCCTGGGCTCCAGGCCCCGAGGAGACACTGATTTATTGGGCCGTGCGACCTGGGCTCCTCGCTGCAACGCACATCCCTCCAGCCTGTCAGCAACTACAAAGCCCTGGATCCCCGCACGTCAGCGRCGGCTGCTCCTTCCCGATCCGGGTGATCCCGGGAGCAGGATCCCAGCCTTGCAGCTGTGGTGCCTCCAAGCAGGTGCCTTCCCTGGATAAAAAGTGACCAAGGACTTCAGTGACAATCACAGTCCTTGGGGACCTTGCTCAAAGGCAAAGGGATCCTCGCCTTGAAGCACTTTTGGGCAGGCGAAGGGGAGATGAACCCCTTCAGGCACCAGGATGCTCCTCCACACAACATGGGGGAAATGTGGGAGGAGAGATGGAAATGGGTGACATTAAATTCTACCCGTACAACCGCTTCTTTGCCAAGGGCCAGCAGCCATGAGGGGCCAGGCACCGTCCCCTTGGTGCCCCGCTCCCGGGCACTGCTTCCCGCTGCCCTTGCGGCCAGGGTGACTGAYGTGGCCGCAGCGGCACCCGGGGCCGTCGTCCACGCGCACGGATTCCTTATTGCACCATTCGCTGTGGGGTTTTCACCATACACCCCACACGTTCTGCAAGACCCCATTTCCCCCATCCAATATATATCAGTGTATCTCCTGACTTCTGCTCTTGCACAGCAGGGGAGCGCCCTGCAAGCGCCGTTTGGGAAAGGGGAAGGGGATGACTGGGGTGTCCGGTCCCACGCAGGGCTGCCCGGCACGGCCACCACCCCCTGGGGCTCTCGCCTTCCCCACGGTGGGGCAGCAGGGAGCGATCCCCATGATCCCAGGGAAGGGCTCCCCGGTAGGACCCATGCAGGGGATGAAGCAGAGGCCTCCGCACAAGCAGGCGAGCAGCTAGGCTGCTCTCAGACCAGAAAATAATCATTAAAAATAAGCAATAAAAAAGTCCTCTCTGGAATAAACATATTCCTCAACAAGCAAAGCAAAACGCACGCGTAGCTCCAGCCTTCCAAGCCCCTTTACCCAGCCYGGCTCCAAGGGACGAGCCCAGCGCAGCAGCGATGCAGGGACAAGCGGGACGTGTGACAGCAGCCAGGGCCACCTCGTCCTGCCTTGCAAAACCCCCCCTAAAACCTCTCCGCCACCACGCACGYGTCACGGGCAGGAGGAAGGTGCCCTGCAGCGCCATGAACAGCGCCGAGCTGGGCGCTCGCTGCAGCCCCCAAACCTGCTGCTCGAGAAGCTTCTGGGGTCCCCAGCCATGGGACAGGGACAAGAAGGACCAAGGCCAGGAGCGGAGCCACCAGATGCTCGAGATCTTCAGTTATAAACAAGGCTTAAGAACATGCAGGGTACACAAATGCTTTTACTTGCCTTGTCAAAGCCTCTGCCCCTGGATTCACTCCCCATCGACCCAAAACCAGCTGCAAAGACAGCCCATCCAGCCCGGCCGGTGACTGAATTATCTTCTGAGCAACCGCAGCGGYGGTCAACGAGACCGAGCTAAAGGGCAGTGAGGTGCGAGCGCCCGGGAATGCAATATTCCTGACAAACGGCCGGGTGGCGAGTGCCGCTACACGGCTAAGGGGCAATTTGGGCAATGACAACAGTCCCCAGAGCTCCCGTTTTCCAACAGACACTCGGCTCAATCCAATCCACATCAGAGGAGGTTGGTGGAGGTGAGTAAGGAGAACTCGTTTGTGCTGTTAGATGGGGAAGGAGGGACTAGCAGAATCCACGCTCACCTGCGTCTCCGTGTTTGCACTTTGCCTTATGTGAAGTACCAGGTGAAGCCCCAGACTCGGCCAAGTGCTTCTCATCCCTCCCCGACCACGAGGTTCCCGTGCCGAGGAAAACGCACGTGGGTCTGGGCCGAGAGCAGCTCTCAAGAGCATCAGCAGCGGCTAGAAACAAGAGCAGGGGCTGCAGCACTGGGCACCTGCAGGAAGGTGGCAGGTSCCAATGTCCCCCCAGCCCCAATCTTACGGTTTTTGAGGCCATCTGCCCAAAAGACCCCACATGGGGCAGCATTTCTCAGCACACCTGGATCTCCAGCCCTTACTACAGGGGCACTCGTAGGAAAAGTCTGGCGTTAGCTCCGTGTTTTGGTGTTTCTTCAGCAACCGTATGATTATACTGTAATCACGATGACACTGCTTCTGGGTACGGCAAACAGCACGATCATTAAAAAATTCATTTCAAAATCTTCCTGGAAGCTAATAAATTTTACAGCAGTTTCAATCCTTTCACATTGCAACAAAGAAAAGCTTAGTTCCAGACAAATTAAAAGTAAATTGATTGCCTTAGGGGAATCTATTCAAATATCACTTTTCCATGTTAGAAATCTTTTCCTGAAACAAGAAGTGAGGAGCCAGGGAGAGCAAGCAAGAGAGCTGTGTGGAAAGGCAAATCATTAAATCTCTCTTCACAAAACTAGAGGTGGGGGAGGAGGGAAAAAAAATTAAACTTAAAATAAAATGCAAATGTCTCGCTGAGGTGCAGGCCTAACATTTGTGATGGAATTTATGAATAATAAATGTGAATAAATAGTAAACACGGAGGGATCAAGGCTCRCCGTTGATGTTTGCTCATGGTTGGCCACCGTGCACGGACGACGCGCGGCTGCATTATTTATCGCTCCTCTTACAATTACTTTGGGGCTGCTGTTCCATCCCGCACCATCATTTCCATGGGAATACTTGCATAGGGAGCCCCGGTCCCTTCGTGCCGTGCTGCAGGTGGCTCCGGCCGCGGTCCTGGAGGAGGGAGCTGCTCTCCCAGGGGAGCTGCAGCGCTCCCGGGCTCCGGATAAAGCACCGAGCTGGAGGCGCGCACAAGGAAGTCCCAGTCACAGCCCAGCTGCTGCCTGGACACCAAAACTCTGCCCCTCTCCCTCATCTTCCCTAACAGCACAATCCCAGAAAAGAGAGTAAGGGAACAGCATGTTATATATCAGACCTATGGGCCTTTCCCACCAGGAATTCTCCCGTGTCTGCAGCAAGGRGATCCCACCACAGCCTCCCCAGGCACCGCTCCAGGGACACCTGCAGCCAGGGACAAATGCTCTTTGCTGCAACGAGGGCCTTTCCTTCTCCATGCTTCCCTGTTGTTGGGGTTTATGCAAGCTGGAATAATATGGAAAGTTACATCTTTAATCCCAGATTGTCTGTCCTGATACAAGAGGTCAGCAGTGCTCGGACAACTCAAAAGCCCGGGAGGAATTATTTTAATGAATAAGGGATATGAATGGGATTCATTTATTACCAATTGCTGAGTGGGGCCCGCGGGGAGCGTCTCCATGACGGTGAGCCGAGCAGCTCATTCCTGGCTGGAGCGAGTGGCTCCGGGAAGCTCATGGGAGCCACGCAGAGCTACCTGAGCTCCAGGGCTGCCCCTGCTCCTTATTACCATTAGCACCATCCTTTAGAGCTGACACTATATAATGAAAGATGACTCTCACTGACGCAGCTG